GCGCGCACCGGGGCCGCGCGCCGCAGGGGGACCCAGGCGCCCCCAGAAGGTCCTTCTACCCCCATCCTGCCATGCTTTTCTCCCGGTGGTGGCGGGGGAGCTCCGCCAGGTTCTGAAACCAAAAAGGTGCTATCCCCGCCCGCATGTCCACGTGCCCCTCAGACCCCTATGCCCTTAGCGGGCAACTGGCAGGAAACTCCGCGCTGCGGGCGCGGATGAGAAGCCGCTGGGCCGTAGGGGAGCCACCGTGGGGACTAGAGACTGGAGGACCAGGGGACTCCGAGAACGGAGGCAGGCACCTGTGCCGGGGCCACAAGTCCACGTGAAGTACGGCAGCAAGTGCCGGGAGCCTGAGGGCGCGCCTCCAGCACGCAGAGCTTGCCCGAGGGTCCCCGACACCTTGGCGCGGCTCCATCTCAGGGAAGCGCGGTACCCCTCAGCTCTGCCGGCGGGGGACACAGATTGCAAGCCACCAAGGCTAGACCCTCTCTAGTGGCCGTAGCGCCCCCAACGCTCTGGCTTGCGCGGGGGGACCTCCAGCTCCCTGCCCCCCTTAACAGAGCGCATCGCAGGGTGCATGGAACGGGGGCTCTGCAGCCTGGAACCCCCGATCCCCTCAATGAGCCCACAGCTGCTTCCCGGCCTCTGCGACTGCGGTGGCAGGCCCCGCAGCTCAGCACCCCTGGCCCTGAGCCCGCGGTCCCAGCTGGCGGTACCTGCGTGTCGGCGAGATAGTTGAGGAAGAAGGAGGAGAGCTCTTCGTCCAGCAGCGCGCCGCAGTCGTTCCCCGCCATCTTCCAGACGCGGCTGCAGCGTGCCGCGGAGTCAGCGCGGAGCCGGCCGGGGGGAGGGAGCGAGCGAGCGAGCGAGGGAGGCGGGAGGAGGGAGCAAGGCAGGCGGGAGGCGGAGGGCGGAGCTCAGGCCCAGGCTGCCGCAGGGCCGCTGGCTGCGGAGGCGGGGCCGCTTGGTGCCTGCGCAAGCCCGGGGTCGAGCCCCCACTTTCCTGCGCCGCGTCTGGAGCCACGGTCCTCGCCAGTAGTCCCCAACCCCGAGGAAAGCGCCCGCAGCAGAGTGACAATGCCCAGCCTGCAGCCCGATTCCTGCGCAGCAATGCGGGCAGCCCCCCACTTTTGCCAGAACGAATCACGTTGCCTTAGCGCTGGGCGGGTCCTTCGAGACAACCTGCTTCTGCACTGCTGGGGAAACTGAGGCCCAGGGAGGCAGAGTACCTCGTTTGAAGCCACAGTACAGTTCAACATCAGGAAGGCAAAGCCTAGAACTGCCTCGGGGCCTTGAGTTTCTCTACCTGGGCTGCAAGGCCAGAGAGGGAGGGAGACCAAGTGTCAAAGGGGGAGAAATCAGAAGGCTCCTAAGAAGGGGTGGCATTTTTATCTTTTCCTTGAAAGATGCGTTGACTCATATTCTGTTAGTGTGGCCACCTCTCTCTCTCTCTCTCTCTCTCTCTCTCTCTCTCTCTCTGTTTTCCTTCACTGCCCTACACCCTTTAAAAAACAAAAAAACTTGAACGATTTCTCTTAAGAGGGCACACAGTGCCTTGAAATGGCCAGGCTCCTGCAGGCTTCCCCCGGCCCACTAGCTTTCCCCAAGTTGCTCAGATGAACAATCTCACAATGGCCTCTACACTCAGAATGCTGGCCCGGCCCAGCAGCCACTCACCCTGTAACCACATCTTCAGGGCATCCTCCCCCACTGCCCCTCAGACTGTCAGACCCTTCCCTCTTCCCATGGTCATGGGTTCCTTTAGCTCCTCAGGCCTTTCCTTTCAAACACTGGTCCCAGCTGTCTTTTTACATTTTAGTGTAGATTAGATCTATGTGTCTCTCTCCTTACTGGACTCCAAGACCCATGAAAGCAAACCCTGAATCTGCTTTTGTACTTGCCATGTCTCCAGTGCCTGGCACATAGAAGGTACTTAATAAATAACGTGTTAACTAAAAACCGGGAGAATTTTGATCCCTCACCACCACCACACATTGTATAGATAAGGAAACTGCCCAGAGTCAAAGGTGCACATGGAGTGAGTGCCTGAGTTAGAACCTGATCCAGGGTATTCCGACTCCAACCTTGAACTCCCATCATCACGGTCTGCTGTTTGCCAGGC